AAAAAGGAAAAGATATTAAATATTATCGATAAAAGTGACCAGATGGTAGACACTGAAGCCACTAAAAACAAAACCAAGGAGGGTAAACTCATAAGCACAAAATGTAGCTGACAGCATTAGGAAAGCTGGATCTGGTGGCTTTTTAATTTTATTTTTAGCATTATGAATCTACTCGCAGATGACAATAGCAGAGCTCCGAAGAGGCCATCTTATAGATCAAGCTGTCATGAAACTATGTGGCTCTTTCCTGCAGGGTCATGTTACTAATGAAACTTTTATTTTCCAGTAATCCTGGAGGTAGTCATTAGAAGGTGTATTATTTTTGGCCAGCTATAATGGATGCAACCACAGCCAAGGTTTAATTGCTATGCTACCAACACAGCGGCAATTAGCATTCAGAGCAGGCTCCGGAGCCACAGGTAATGCACTTCCCAGTGAAAGTTTTTCAATAAAGGATACCCTCTATGTTGCGTTCAGAGACTCCCCTAAATGAAGTAAATAAGCCATAAAATTCTCACACGTCACTCGGAGGGACTGGAGTCGCGGGTAGAGCTTTCAAGGGCCAGGCGGAGAAGAGTTTGGGAGAGAAGGTCAGGAGGGGGGAAGCTCAGGCACCCCAAGCGGCTCTCTCCCCCTCGGTTCTTTTCTGTGCCTCTGCTCAGCTCAGCTTCCTCCCACTGTTGCTCCCCCAGCCACCAATGCCTGGCCCTCAGCTCAGGGCTCACAAGGTCTACTGCCCACATATAATAGATCTGCAGACTCCAGGCAAGTATACGAAGGAGGACCCATACCATTTCAGTGTTTCCCAAAGTGTGGTACGCGCACCCCCAGGGGCACAGGAAGAGTTTGGTGGGGGTACGCGTTGCACCGGAGTTTGGTGGGGATATGCACTGCACCGTGCTTAGCTGCGCCTAATTCTACGTCCTCATGAGTACGAGGGGTACTCAGTGTTACGAAAATCATAGAAGGGGTACACATATGTCAAAAGTTTGGGAAACACTGGATGGTTAAAAGTCATAAATCAAGCTAATAAACTGTTAAGTAAAATATGTTCTGTCCTCCTACCTTTATTCTAAGATGAAATTTTTAAATGCATAAGGTTATATTGTAGTGGTTATGGGCCAACTATCACAGATGAAAATAATTATTATTATTTAAAATTAATTAGCTTGGCTGAGATCGGATTGGCTCAGTGGATAGAGCGTCGGCCTGAGGACTGAAGGGTCCCGGGTTTGATTCCAGTCAAGGGCATGTGCCTTGGTTGCAGGCACACTCCCAGTGGGGGATGTGTAGGAGGCAGCTGATGGATGTTTCTCTCTCATCGATGATTCTGGCTCTCTGTCCCTCTCTCTTCCTCTCTGTAAAAAATCAATAAAATATATTTAAAATAAATAAATAAATAATAAAATTAATTAGCCTGTTGATAAGCTGGAGATTTTTGGATGAGCAATAACATAAAAACTTACACAATTTAAAAATTATATAGATGTTGTGATAATCAAGGTTTTAATGCAATCAGTGCTTTATTTAGAATAATGCTAAATTATATAACTTTCCTGAGTTATTAAAATTTTTAAACTTAATTGTAGCTTGGAGAAGCTTTGTTCTGCTAAGGCAGTAGCAACTGGAATTGTCAATCAAATTCTTAAAGCAACATTTATTTTAGAAAATGGAGAACTGGGGTTTCTGGTCTGACAGAGCTTGGAAGCCATCATTCTATCCTAACAAGTAAAAAGTGGAATAAACTGAAAAGTAAAAATTCTTAGATCTGTCAGAGATTTAAGTAGCAAATTACTGCTCCCCAAAACTGGAGATGCAGACAGGAAGATACAAAGAATCACAACTTGCTGGAACAGAAACCCATGAGTAGAAACCTCCAGAGGAACCCATAGGGGGTGAGAAAATCTGAATTGCTGGGGCTGTGTGGACAAGTCTGACAGTTAAAAACTCCATGGGGACTCAGCCTTCAGGGACCCCCCACACTTTTGAAAGGCCAGGCAGGAAGTCCTAGCTAATGCAATAAGACAAGAAAAGGAAATTAGAGGTGTACAGCTTGGGAAGGAAGCAATAAAATTGTTTGTTTGCAGATGACATGATTATGTAGAAAATCTGAAAGAATAAGCTAAAAAAAAACCCTCCTAGAACTTATGTGATTATAGCAAGGTTGCAGAATACAAGGTTAACATAAAAGTCAATCACTTTCCTATGTACCGGTAATGAACAAGTGAAATTTGAAATTAAAAACATAACACCAATTAGGAGGGGGGGGAATCACCAAACAACCCCCCTCCACAGTACCATTTAATAATGAAGAAAAAAAACACACACTCCAAAATGAAATATTTAAGTATAAATCTAACAAAATATATATAAGATCTACATGAGGAAAACCAAGAAAGACATCAAAGAGGAAATAAATAAATGGTGAGATATTCATTTTTTGTGGATAGGAAGACTCAATATTGTCAAGATGTCAGTGCTTCCCAACTTGATGTATAAACTCAACCAAAATCCCAGTTTTTTTTTTGTGGATATCGACAAATTGAGTCTGATGTTTATCCAGAGAAGGAAAAAACCCAGACTAGCCAACACACTACTGAAAAAACAATGTTAGAGACTGATACTACCTGATTTCAAACTCACTATAAAACTGCAGTAATTAAGTCACTCTATTATTGGCAAAAGAATAGACAGACAGATCAATGGAACAGAAGAGAGCCCAGAAATAGATCCATATAAATAAAGTCAACTCATCTTTGACAAAGGAGCAAAGGAGATATTGTCTTTTCAACAAACAGTGCTGGAACAACTGGACACCCCACGAAAAAAATGACTCTGGTTACAAATCTTACTAATTAACTCAAAAATTAACTCCAAATTGATCATAGACATGAATGTCAAACATAAAACTCTTAGGAGGTAAAACAGGAGAAAATGCAGAATTTGGGGGTTTGGTGATGACTTTTTAGATACAGTACCTTAGGTACAATCAACAAAAGAAATAATTGATGAGCTCGACTTCATTAAAATTTAAAATTTCTGCTCTGCCAAAGATAATGTCAAGAAAATTAGGAGATAAGCCACAGACTGAGAGAAAAATATTTGCAAAAGATATATCTGATAAAAAATTTCTATTAAAAATATGCAAAGGACTCTTAAAAAATCAACTACAAGAAAAGAAACAAGTGACTAACAAATAAGCCAAAAACCTTAACAGGCACCTCATCAAAGAAGCCATACAGATGGTAAATAAGCACATGAAAGGATGCTCACACCCTCTGTCATCGGGGAAATACAAATTAAAACAACGAGATACCACTCCGTGCCTATTAGAATGGCCAAAATCTGGAACACTGCCAGCACTCAGTGCTGGCGAGGGTATGAAGCAGCCAGAACTCTCAAGCGTTGCTGGCGGGAATGCAGAAGGATATAGCCACGTGGGATGACAGTTTGGCGGTTTCTTATAGAACTAAACATACTGTCACCATAGGATCCAGCCATTGTACTCCTTGGTATTTACTAAAAAAAAAAAAAAAAAAAAAGCTGAAACCTATGTCCATATGAAACCTGCACACAGGTGTTTAGAGGCGTTTTATTCATAACTGCCAAAACTTGGAATCCACCACGAAGTCCTTCAGTGGGTGAATGGATAATCAACAGTGGCACATCCAAACATTGGGAATAGTTTTCAGCACCAAAGAGAGATGAGCTCTCAAGCCATGAGAAGACTTTTTACTAAGTGGAAAAAAACAAGTCTATGTGATTGGCCACATCTGTATGATTCCGACCATGTGACATTCTGGAAAAGACGACACTATGGGAATAGCAGAGTCCTGGTTGTCAGGGAAGGAGGGATGACTAGGCTGAGCTCATGAGATTGTGAGTCTGATGATAGTTGGTACTAAAAACTTGTAGTTCATCTTTCCATTAGGATTCTGAATCAATAAAACTGTAGGACCTGCCAGGGTTGGAATCCCATTGCCACCTGTGCCTCAAGTTGATGCCCAGACTCCCTGAAAGAATAAAAGCTTCCCCCCCGCCCCCCCCTCCCAGTATAATATCCAGGAAATAACGCAGTTTCCAACTATCGATAATCTGACTTGGGCAATTGGCTTAATAGAGCAAACTGGCCCTGTTTAAAAGTCTTGGCTCCTGGGACACAAAAGTAACCCAAGTGCCCATCAACAGAAGAGTGGATAAGAAAGAGGGATGCATGCATACAGAATGGAATATTACTCGGCTACAGAAAGGAATGAAATCTCACTCTCTGTGACAGCATGGATGGACCTGAAGGGCGTTAAGCTACTTACTAGTCAGTGAAACAAGTCAGTTCAGGTCAGATACCACATGATTTCATTTGTATGTGGAATCTAAAGAGCAAACAACTGAACAGAAACAGACCCAGAGAACAAACAGAGGGTGTTTGCCAGCGGGGAGGAGGGCTGGGGGACTGACTGGGTGATCCAAGCGAAGGGGTTAAGATGCACAAATTAGTCATTGCAAAAACAGTCATGGGCTTGTGAAGTACAGCATGGGGAATACAGTCAGTAATACTGTAATAACTATGTAGAATGCCAGGTGGATCCTGGCAATATTGGGGAAATCCCTTTGTAAAGAATATGCCTGCCTGCCCACCAGGTTGTACACCTGAACTTAACATAAAATAATATTGAATGTCAACTGTAATTGAAATATAATATATTTTTTTAAAGTCTTGGCTCCTAAACTCCAAAGGAAGTGGGTTCTTTTTAAAGGAAGCTTTATTTGGGGGGTCACCCAGCGTTTCCACAAACCCTTTAGGCAGCCCCCCCTGGACAGGGCAGCCCAGAGATGGCATCGCAGACCTCAAGGTGAAGGGGATCCCCTGCCCGGAGCCCCCGGGGCCCCCAGCTGCCCCACACCGGTCACCGCGCCCGGCCCGCGGGCGCCTCTGGGCGGGGCGGGCGGCGGGCCAGCCGCTCCCCGCTCCCCGCCGCCGCCGCCGCGCCGCGAGCCCGGACCTGCCCGGGGCCGGGGCGGCGCAGTCTCGCGGGATCGCGCAGCTCTCGCTCCCCGTGCGGCTCCGGGCGCTGGACTCGCCGACACCGGGGCCGCCTCAGGTCGCGGCCGGACGGCGGCTGCACGGGGCCGGGCAGAGCCGCCTGGGATCGCCGCCGAGGTGAGGCCCGCGGCTCCGGCCATCGGGCTCCCCGAGGGAGCGGGCCGGCGGGCGCGGAGCCGCAGGTGCCGGACGGGACGGGACGGGGCCGCCGGACCAAGTTCCCGCGGAGGCCGGGCCGCCCCGGGCGGCTGTGCGGGGCCGCGGGCGGGCGCTGTGGCCCCGGCAGGCCGGGCAGGTGCCGGGGGCGGAGGGGGGTAAAGAGAGGGGGACCTCGCCCGCGCTGGGAGCCGGGCCGGCGGGAGTTGGGGGGGGCGGCCATGGGAGATCCAGGCCCAGAGGCGTGTTCCCCCCCCCCCCCCCCCCCCCCGGCTCCTTCGCCTCCGGGACGGATCGGACTGCTCCCCCGGCGGTGGCACCCTGCTCCCCCCCGTACCCTCCTCCACCCCACCCCCCACCCCGCACTCCGCTCCGAAAACTGGTCCGGCCGCTCCGCAGGTGGGAGCTCGGGAAGTCTCCGCTTTCACAGGCAGGAAAGTATCAGATCCCCGAAGACTGGCCCCCAAAACGGGCTCTTGGGGGCCCTTGGAGCGTGTAAAACCTCCTTATGTCTTCTTCAGGCCTGTCCCCGGGACCCGGAGTTCCTGTGGTCGCATGTCCAGCGGGTCCCTTGGGCTTTATTATGGCTCTGTTCATCCTGTGTAAGGTGTCCCGGACGCCCCGCGCTCCTTTTCTCTCCATCTCACTCACCCACCGGCCCCTGAGCGGCCCTGTCCGCCCTGTGCACCCCTCTGCACCCCTGTGCACCCCCTGAGCGCCCCTTGTGCCCTCTGAGCGTCCCCTGTGCGCCCCCTCTGCACCCCTGTGCACCCCCTGAGCGTCCCCTGTGCGCCCCCTCTGCACCCCTGTGCACCCCCTGAGCACCCCCTGAGCGTCCCCTGTGCGCCCCCTCTGCACCCCTGAGCGCCCCCTGAGCGCCCCTTGTGCCCTCTGAGCGTCCCCTGTGCGTCCCCTCTGGGCCCTTGTGCACCCCCTGTTCGCCCCCTGAGCGTCCCCTGTGCGCCCCCTCTGCACCCCTGTGCACCCCCTGAGCACCCCCTGAGCGTCCCCTGTGCGCCCCCTCTGCACCCCTGTGCACCCCCTGAGCACCCCCTGAGCGCCCCTTGTGCCCTCTGAGCGTCCCCTGTGCGTCCCCTCTGGGCCCTTGTGCACCCCCTGTCCGCCCCCTGAGCGTCCCCTGTGCGCCCCCTGAGCGCCCCCTGAGCGTCCCCTGTGCACCCCCTCTGCGCCCCTGTGCACCCCCTGTCCGCCCTCTGTGCCCCCTGAGCGTCCCCTGTGCGCCCCCTCTGCGCCCCTGTGCACCCCCTGTCCACCCCCTGTGCCCCCTGAGCGTCCCCTGTGCGCCCCCTCTGCACCCCTGTGCGCCCCCTGAGCGTCCCCTGTGCGTCCCCTCTGCACCCCTGTGCGCCCCCTGAGCGTCCCCTGTGCGCCCCCTCTGTGCCCCTGTGCACCCCCTGTCCGCCCCCTGTGCCCCCTGAGCGTCACCTGTGCGCCCCCTCTGCACCCCTGTGCGCCCCCTGAGCGCCCCCTGAGCGTCCCCTGTGCGCCCTTGTGCACCCCCTGTCCGCCCCCTGTGCGCCCCTGTGCACCCCCTGCTCCCCTAGGCACCCCTTGTTGCGCCCCTTATGCACCCCTTGTGTGCCCCCTGGGCACCCCGAGCTCCAGCCGCACACCCCTGCGGTCACGGTTCCCGGAGAGGCCGGGGCAGGCGGGAGAGGCTCCCCAAAGGATGGAATTTTCCGTCTTTTTCCCAGCGGCGGGCCTTCTCCCCTCGGTGAGAACCTGAGCTCCGCACTCGGACGTCGGACGTCGGGGGCATTGGAGTTTGTGACAGATGTCCCTGGAGCTCCCTCTGGGTGGTGGTATTATTATTATTGTTATTATTTGTAGTAATTGGCTCGGAATTCACTTTCAGGAGAAGAGCTGCCTTCAGCATGGCGGAATGATGAAGGGAGACATTAGAAGGCTCTCCCTTGGGTCGGCAATCTGAGAAGGAGAAGAGCCATTCAGCCAAGCCATGCGGTAGGAGCAGGAGGCTGGAGAGGGCGGAGATGCCGGCGATGCTGTGGGTCTGTGTTTTCCTGCCCCTGGTCAGAGGGCACAGCCTTTTCACCTGTGAGCCCATCACTGTGCCCCGCTGCACGAAAATGGCCTACAACATGACGTTTTTCCCCAACCTGATGGGCCATTACGACCAGAACACTGCTGCTCTGAAAATGGAGGTGAGATGTTTTTTTATACCTTCCTAGAAAAGGAGTTTATTGCTCTTGTCCTGGAATAAACGATGATGGTGACTTTTTTTTTTTTTTTTTAAAGACAATGAGCGATTCTTTCAGGTGTGTGTACAAGCCATCTTTGGAAGAAATCCTTCTGGAGATTAAATTACTCTAGCTACAAATGTATGGTTTGTGTACATTTGTGGCCCTGTTTGGGGGACTTGCTTCACATGGGGTTCATTTTATAGAAAGCAAAGTTATGGACGATTTAGAAATGTCTTGCACCCGGCAAATAGTTCGCTTTCCTGAAATCGATGATGGTAGTTCCTCTAATAAGGTGAATTCTGAATTTTTCCTAATTCATGGAACATACAATCTATATTGTCCGGACTACATGTATTTTCTTCTTTTTTTTAATTTTTTTGTTTTGTTATTTTTAATGTATTGATTTTAGAAAGAGAGAAACGGGGGGAGAGAGGTGGATTTGTTGTTCTACTTCCTTATACGTTCATTGGTGGATTCTTGTATGTGCCCTCATGCACCCTTGGCGTATCAGCGCTTTGAGTACATGTATTTCCGTAAGTAGTTCTAATGCTCCCTTGGCACCGTTCTCTGAAGCGAGTAGATAATTGGAAGATTTGAGGGCTGTCGATAGTGTTTTGCTACAAAAAGTGGCTTTTTTAGGCACTGGAATATTCTTTGTAAGATACTTTTTAAAAGAAACTGCAGGTCAGGGACGGAGCAGAGTGATGCTAGAGGTTGCCTTAGGAGCCTTCGGTGGCTTAGAGATACGCAGATGGCTGCGGAGGTGTGGGAAGAGTTACCATCCACACAGGGACCCGCCTGCCCTCCCGTACAGATCAGTTAGGTTGATAAGACTCATGAAGGAAAGGCGACCAATGTTCCTGTAGTTTATCTCCAGAAAAAACTTTCCAAGCATGGCAAGCGCTTCTTTCCCCCTCCCGTTGTTGTGGAGGGATGAAACCCCTGTCATTTTAACGTAGACACTACTTTAAAAACTGACCAAGCTTGATTTGACAGCTTCAGAAGTCTTTCATTGCTGGTTCGTTGGAGAGTTGCTGGACTACCTCATTGTAGACTCGGGTCTAAAATGGGAGGCTTTTAAGTACTGAAGTCGATGTACTTTAAATGGGCATTTCACATTGTATCATTGCAACCTTCCAGTGGTCTTTCTCACCAGTGCGAGATGTGATTTTAAACCCTGAGCAAATGATGCAGTGAGACTTTCATTGATTAATCAGAACTGTTTTGATGATTTAATCTGATTAAAGTATATAGTGGGGAATAACTATGTCATTCATTTCTCTGAATATATATGACTGTTCTCATGCTTATCATGCTGTGGTGCAATTATGTAAATGGCTCTCTCACTAGAAAGCCATGACAGGTGCTCAATGAAGCCTGGATAAAGAAAAGGGTGGTGTTTCCTGTCCTAATAAATCAGCAAAGAGAATTTCCCCCCAAGTCTTTACCTCACACCTTTACCTCCTGCAGTGTCTAAGTAAAACACATTCTAATATTTTTAAGTGGTTTGTGTATCATCCACTTTCAGCCTGAGCCTAGTTCTAATAAAATATGTCAGTTGACATCTTCTGTATTCTTTCCCATATTAGCTTCCCAATTTATTTTAATTCTGCTTTTAACCATTTGCATTTATATGGAGTGAAAAAATTCATCTTTTGATTGGATCATTGTATTATAAACTATATGTGTTATATTCCCCCCCCCCCAAACATGGTATTTTAATACTTATTTGTAGTCCAGACAAGTACTAAATTATTAACTGCATGTATCTTGAATTTTAAAGTGTTTTATAGCTTTCTAAAGACTGGGTGGGTTTTACACCTCCAGCCCAACTGCCTTCCATTGCTCCTGGTTCCTGCTGCATTTTCAGTGTCCTAGGAATCAGTATTAGGCTGAGGGGTGGAAGAAGTATCTGATGTTGGGCTTCCTTAGCTTTCAGGAATTTCATGTAATTCTAGAGATCTGTCTCACTCTTTTATGCCTCAGTTTTCATTTTGTATGATGGCTATCCTGTTTTATAGACCTTATAGTAGTCATGGTCATTGCAAGTCTGTAATTACACCAAGTGACCAGATTATAATGATCTCTGAACACATAATAACCTGGCCATCTGGCCACTCAGTATATATACAGTATATATATATATTAGAGGCTCTGTGCATGAATTCATGCATGGGTGGGGTCCGGCCAGCCTGGCCAGGAGGAAGGAGATGGGTGGTTGGCTGGCTTGCCTGCTGGTCGAACTCCTGGTTAAAGGGACAATTTGCAATTTATTATATAGGATATACACTGAGTAGCCAGATTATTATGCATTCAGAGATCACAATAGTCTGGCCAGTGTATATGAGATGGTTTAGAACAGTGGTTCTCAAAGTTTAGTTCATAGACCAGCAACTTGTGAACTTGTTCGTGGACCCCATCCCAACCTATTGAATCATGACCTATGAAGACAGAGCCCAAGAAACTGTATTTTTAACAAGTTGTGCTGGTGTTTCTTATGGATGTTAAATTTTGAGATCTATTGGTTTGGAGCAGGGAATGTAAACTTTTTCCATAAAGACCCAAAGAAGAAATATTTTGGCTTTGCAAACCATACAGTCTCTATCACAGCTATTCAACTCTGCAACCGTAGTAGAAAGCAGCCATAGACAATCTGTAAACAATTGAGTGTAGATGTTTTTTACTAAAATTTTATTTACAAAAACAGGCAGTTCCCTCCTTCCCCCACAGGCTGTGGTTTGCTGAACCCTGTTTTAAAATACTTAAAAATACTATAAAGTTACCATAGGATTAAAGTACTATAAGGATTATACATGTATAGCATGTATAAATAAACATCGTTATGCATTCTTGTTAACATGTTACGTGAGTTATGCATTATTTACTTTACACAGAAATTTTAAGTCAAATTTATCATAAACAAAGGGATCTAACTGGGATATCCTGGTTTTTTAGTTTTATTTCAGAGATTGCTTGTAATCAAGGACTTCGTTTCCCCCCCCCCCTTATTTTGTTTACTGAAGCTAAATTCATTTGTATTACAAAGATTAATTTATAATTCTGAATAATAACTTGGCTTCTTAAAAAGGATGTCGTACAGTCTAATCCTCCCAGGTGGAAAAACAAATGGCTGCTGGTTTTCCATTGTGTCCCTCTTTGTGTCATATCTGGAGCATTGTTTCTGAAATTGTTAGGTTCATGTCCCTCGAGAGACTGATTTCATCCGAAGGGAGCTGAGGCTGAGCTAGGGAAAATGGAAACAGGAACATTTATTTTCTTTTTGAATTGCCTTCATTGAGGTCTAGGCAAAAGCAAAGTCATGTATTATGTTTGGAACAGCGTGTGGTCATTCCACTTTTGAAAAGTCTAAAGGGAAGTGAGCCAAGGGGGGTAAAAAAAACAACCCCTTTCCTTGTCACCTGTTAATATGCACTGCTAAAATGTCTCTATTCAATCTATTTAATAAAAGTGTAAGCAACCGTATGGCGGAATGACCAGAATGACCGGTTGCTATAATGTGCACTGACCACCAGGGGGCAGATGCTCAACGTACTGGACTGCAAGAGGGTGCAGGCTGGGCTGAGGGACCCTCCTCCCCAGCATGAATTTCATGCACAGGGCCTCTGGTTAAAAATAAAGGGAGAAAAACTCTGTACACAAACTTACAAAGAAATCTATTTCCATGGGCAATGGGTTTTAAGCATTTTCATTTTTCTGCTTGTAGAAGAGTCTAGTGGACCCGTTCCTTTCCTCCTTCTCTACTTTTATATCCCTGTACACAGGCAAGAAAATGTTTAGTGTGAGTAACCTGTTTATTTTTCAGGGAAGGCTTTCTGAAAATAGCTGTAACTATTCTGAAAGTAAGCTATTGAGTTCTTTAAAATGAAATAAGTATTGAAAAGTCAGTTGTGTGTTTTAAGTGTAGAAACCACAAGCGTACTTTCCTCTGTGGTAGTGTGTTGCAGTAGTAGGGAAAGCACATTGACTATTTCTGAGTCTGCAGAATCAGGGTTGGTCTGCATGTAAACAGAGGACAGAATTTCTTCTGGAGGCTCTGCTGATAGGCACCAGGCTCCTATGTGCCACCCCTGATGTTCTGGGTCTGGGACATTATTGGTTACACCCTCCGGAGAGCCTGGTCCCAAAGACCGTGGTTCTTCCAGACCATGGGGCGGCTGTTGTGTTGTGACTCTTTCCTTTTCTTGAGTTGTGGCATGTACATAATGAAGCCTTATTACTCTAGTTTGTATATTTTTCATGTATTCACTCACTAATGCTTATTGATTGTGTACTTGATTGTGTAGCTTCCCCAGGATTAGTTTTGCAAGATACAAGTTTTAAATGAAAAAAGTTGTCACTTCAGTGGACAGATATATATATATATATATATATATATATATATATATATATATATATATTTTTTTATTTTTTATTTTTTTTTTTTGTAGTGCCAGCCAGTTACTGTGTATATTTGTCTAATTTCCAAAGAAAATTACAACTCTTTTGGATAATCAAAAATTTGTAATGTTCTCTGCTAAGAAATATTTTTAAAAATAGGAGCTTTTCCAATATGGAAAAAATGCAAGTTTTTGTTTTTTATTCTCGTATTGCAGGCTCCGCTTTGCATTTGTTAAAGAAGCTGACTTGCCTGAGATTGGTCACAATCATGAAAATAAGTGGCAGAGTTTTTACCATTTTTATTATACAGTAGCCCATTAATGTTCTCAAAGGATTTACTATCCTTGTAACCACTTCAACAGTATTTGTTCTGTGAGGCGTACACCTTTAAGGACCCCTTTAGATCCTTAATGAGTCTGTTGTCTAGCTAAGGCAAATCAATTATTTTTTCCCCAGTCACTTTCTATTTTATTCCCATCACTAGAAATTATCTTTCCTTTTGGTGCCATTTTAAAGTAAGAATTAAGCTTTTAATATTTCTTGGGAGTTACTGTGTATGCCAC